GACCATACACACAAGTCAATATACCTTAGATGAAGCTGCTCATGGCCTCAAACTGCTGAATGATGCACCGGAGCTCAAAACGACCGATCGGGTCGTTACAAAAGTACTTCTCGAGAAGATTCAGAGTGCTCTTTGGAGGGCAAAGTGCAGAAAGGATATAAACAGGAAGGGACTAGAGAACATTCTTAATTAGCACCATTCTTCCCCCATGAGACAACATATTACCCTGTCAGCCACTAAGTTTTTTGACAACCTTAGTGACCATTCCATCAAAGTAACTGATCCTCTTCCTTCCTATATATAAAGGGCAACCCAGATATGTAAATGGAAAGCTCTTCTCTATAAACCTAGTACAACATCTCAGCCTATTGATTCTGAAAGCACTGGTCCTTGGACTGGTCAAGAAGAAGTTCTTATTATCATTGACCTTTTGACCCGAAGCTTTTTCATAATTCTTGATCTGCTTCATAATGAGATTTACTGACTTAGTGTTACCACTGCTAAAAATGACTATATCATCTGCATATGCCAAATGATTAACCTGAGGTCCCCTGCAACTCATAGAAAAAGGAATAAAATTCTCATTAGTGTGTAATTTATTCAGAGATCTGGATAACACTTCAGCTGCTAGAATAAACAGAGAAGGAGAAAGAGGATCTCCCTGTTTAAGCCCCTGGGAGGAAGTGAAGAATCCCTTTCTTGAGCCATTTATAATGATGGAACACCACACTTCAGAGATCAATATCTCTATGATTTCAATCCAACTCTAAGCAAAACCAAACCTATTAAGTATGGAAGTTATAAATGGCTAAGATATTCTATCATATGCCTTGGCCATATCTAACTTCATTACTACGTTCCCTCCGGTGTTAGGTTTGGATATAGCATGTATAATCTCGTGAGCCATCATGACATTCTTAGTAATTAGCCTTCCTGTAACAAAACCACTTTGATTAATATAAATGAGATTAAAAAAAGGGGGTTAAGCCTTCTAGAAATAATCTTAGATATAATCTTGTTGGTAAAATTTCTAAGACTAATAGGCCTCAGATCAGAGAATGTAGAGGGTGATTCTACTTTAGGGATCAAGGCAAGGCAAGTATGAGTGTAGAACTTGGTAAGCCTCTTTCCCCTAAAGAATTCAAAAACAAACTCTATTACGTCCTGCTTAATAATTTTCCAACAACATTGGAAGAACTTCCCATTGTAGCCATTAGGGCCAGCAGAGCTATCTGAGCTCATACTAAAAATAGCATCTTTGATTTCTTTTTCATCAGGCAATCTAGTAAGAGCCACATTATCCTCATCTGTCACGATCGATGGAATACAGTCCAATAGTCTACTATTACCAGTAGATTGTTTCAAATTAAACAGTTTCTCAAAGTGCCTAACGACAGCTTTAGATATTTTTTCTTCTCCTTGGATCCATCTTCCTATGTGGTTCTTGATTCTATATAGTTGTAACTTCTTTCTTATGCCCCTGAAAACACTATGGAAGTACTTACTGTTATATTCACTTTCCTGAAACCATTTGATTTGGGCTTTTTGCCTAAGAAGGGATTCTTGCATAATCAACCACCTAATATATTCAACATGAACTTTATTAAGTTCTTCCCTTCCTTGTTCATTGTTGTTGATGATGTCTAACTCTTCGAGTATATGGACCTTGGCTTCCCAGCTGCTAACTTTTTCGTTCACATCACCAATAATGTTTCTGGACCAGTTGCTAAGTTTCTTGCTCAGGGCCTTCAACTTGCACTGTAATTTCCACATAGCATTACCTTCAACCTGCATATTCCATGTTTCTTGAACTATCTCATGGAAACCCTCTTGATTTGTCCAGAAGTTTAAAAATCTGAAATACTTGATACTAGAGGGTTGATCATTGTGGATTTTCATCAACAAAGGTCTATGGTCAAAACCAGTCTTGACCAAATGCTTAACAACATTATACTGGAGATTCTGGGACCATTTATTATTTACAAGAATCCTATCAAGTCTCTTCCATATTCTCTTGTTAGGCCTTTTATTGTTACACCAACTATTGTTACACCAAGTGAATATTGGTCCAATATAACCAATATCTGTTAAACCACAAGCTTTCATGGTGCTAATAAAGTCAAGACTTCTACTAGCTCTGTGAGGCCTACCTCCCAGCTTTTCCTCGGGGTCCATTATAACATTAAAGTCGCTTCCAATGCACCATGGACCATTGAATAGATTGGAAATGTCTTCAACACTGTCCCACAGAAGCTTCCTTTCTAAGGCAATACATTTAGCATAAACTGACATTATACATGTACCTATATCATCATCATATTGTTTGAAATTAATGGAGATCTGTTGATCATCGTTAGCAATAATCACAGCTTGATCTAAATACTTCCAGAAGCACCAGATCTTACCATTAGTATTAGCTATGCAATGTTGGAAACCTAAGAATTTCCCATAACCATCAATTTTCTTCTTATCAACAAATGGTTCTAAAACACAGCAAAGACCACTTTGTTTATATTGACAAGATTTCGGAGTCTGTGGATAATTTTTTTAGATCTCACTCCCCTAATGTTCCAAAAGATTGTATTAATCATGGATATTAGAGGGTGAAGTGATCTGCTTGTGTTCCTTTCCTTTTCTGGTAGGAACAGTTTTGTCTCTTGTTTTCCTTCTTCTTCCTCCATTTTTCCTGTGTTCACTTCTCCCTCTGACTTGTACTGATTCTGCATCATTATCATTATCAACCTCATCTTGTAATTGAGAAGAATCTTTAACTCTGTTATCACTGATAGTTCTAGATTCAGTATCATTTTCGTCAGTAGGCGTTGTCTTTTGCCCATCTCTGAATCCTCTTTAGTTGCCTCTAAATTCTTGTAACAATTGAGCTCGTCAACTAAATGAATACCTTCCTCATTTTTTATTTTAGTCGTTGCACTATCAGAACTTTCTTGTATTTCTACATCCTGCTTTTGTGAATCATGTTCTCCTTCATTGCTAATATTATCCATATTCATATTGTTGGGGTAATCTCTTTTTCCTCATTGTTGTTACCATTATCTTCCTTAGCCTTCCCACTGTTCTTCTCCACCTCTTTTTCACATGATGGAATCAGCTTTTCCTGTTGAGTTTCCTTAACCATAGAATTTTCCATGTCATGTTGACTTAATTTGTATGCCTTGTTTTTCCTTTTCATGTTACTTCCTTGAGATATGGCAGGTTTAAATAGGACCTTGCTCTTTTTTTTTTGGCATCTTCTTGACTTTATTTTTCTTTTTCTTTTAGTATTTGGAGACAACTGCTGGATTACCTTCCACCTTTTTTGTTTTGTTCTGTCCACCTTTAGCTTTAATGCTTTGAATCATATCTGCTAAAGTCTGCTCCTTTTCCTCATTTACTTGATGTTCTTTTTCAATGTTCTTTATAGACTCCTATTGCATTTCATTATTCTCTGTAGTGTGGCTGGTGCTGGTGCCTTTGTCATCAGCTATGTTTTTCCCTTTGCTGTTTCCTTCTCCTTCTATTTTCTTTTCAGCTTTCCTGCACTGAAGAATAGAGTGTCCAAGTAGTTTGCAATGCCTGCAGTACTTGGGGACATTCTCATACTCGAGCTTCTGGGTAAATCCTTTCAAGGGGTTAGATTCATCCTCTTGGCCCACCCACACAGAGTTTAACTTAGGCTTAGTTAGATCAACTTCCACTCTAACCTTTGCCATACTAGGTCGAGTCCTATGATCAGTGGCCAAATCCATAGATAGAGGAGTTCCTATAGGGCTAACTATCTGCTTAACATAATGCCAAGTGTGGCAATGAAATGGTAATTCAGGTAGGAGTACCCAAACTGTAACTACAGGTGAATCCTCCTCTGGCTTAAAATCCGGAGACCATTTTTCAAGACACATCAGTTGACCTTCAATTTCGATGGAGCGCCTATACCAAACGTTTTTGAAATTGTCTTCATTAGTAAAATCAAGAAATACAGTACGGAAATTATACACCCCAATTTTAACATTTCCTTTGACAGTGATTTTCTCAGCGAATTTGGATCTTAATTTCTCAATTTGAGGTCGTGTTCTTAGAAATTTACCCACAAGTGTAAGCCTACACTCTTCAGCCATAAGTCCGTAGCAGTCGCTAGATTTGAAGATAACTGCAGGCATTCCATTGTGGGTAGAGTATCTCGCTTTAACTTCTGGGTTTCCATAGCGATTCGAGCTAGGGCTCGATATTGTTGGAGCTTTCAGAGCAGCAACATATTTGGATGATGTTGGAATTCCTTCTTCAGTTGTTGTTTTCGTAGCTGTGGGTTTCAACTTCTCAATCGAACGCGCTGGAAGGGTCCCGGCGATCGTCTCCATGAGGAGGTGCGTGAGCACCACTCGCCCGTAAGGGGGCTTTTAGTTACCATTGGTGAATAAAAGTTATTGTGTACGGAGAGCAGATATTTGATGAGAGAGAGTAATTGCAAAAAAAAAACTTGGCGTCCATTTACTTTGAAAATTTTGGTTATTTTAGCACAAAGGAATTGTTGTGACATAAAACTCCTCTCACTATCCTTGATTATGATCAAATTGGTTGTGTAGTTCCTGTTATTATTATTGCCTGTATTTGTAAATAATGATTCTGGAAATTAGAACGTTAGCTTATAAACGTAAATATAAATAAAACAGAAATTAATTCGAGCCCACTGAATTCACAGTGTTTCCTTAAGGAATTTAATCCCCTCCTAGTACCCAAGGTTATGGATTATTTCCTCCCAGGATAGAACGAATTACACACTGGTGTAGCGGTACTTCAAACCCCAGTGTTTCAGCGAATACAAAGTTCGGCAGCAAATCACACTTACGGATGTTTTGTTTGTAGTTTAAAACAATGCAGAACAAGGGAGGAAAACTCAAAAGTCGAATGAAAATTCTGAGAGGAAGGAATGCAAATTATAGCCAACGTTGAGTTTTCGGTGAAGAGAAGATCAATAGCTCTCAATTCTGTTTAGGTGTGTGATTCTCCAACTGTTGCTGCTCATATTTATAGTAGTCAGTTGTGAGACTCTCCCCCTCTCCATGGTGGAGCATGCAC